GTTACGGAAAAATCAATTAACAAACGGAGACGTAACAATATTATGGACAAAAGAATAGAACGTGACAAAAGTATATAAAGCTACTGTTGTATATATATATGTTGTAAAAAGTGGACTGCTGCATTTCAAATAAAATATTAAGTATAATAAAAAATGTATTACTTTGTGTTTTATATTCTAAGTGATCTAGCTGGTAGAACTTGAGATTTAATATAACTAGAGCAAGGAAACACAACTAGTACCAATGATATCTGTTTTTCCATTAACACTTAAAATAAACTTATGAGAACTAGTTCTTAAAGCGTATTTAAGTGTTTTCTTGTTTTACCAAAGTTTGGTGATATAAACCTGTTTAATGATAACTTTTTAAGATCAATTTAACATCCCGCATACAATGAGCTTTAGAAGCTTTAAGTATCTTTAAAATACTTTGCAAAACACAAACTGAAGTAGTAAATGAAATATAAAATTTTAATGCACTAAAGTAATTGAAAAAAAACCAGCTCAATTGGCCAACAAGAACTGGTGGTATCAATACCATATGGGCTCGACATAGCCAGGTGGTTAGGGCGCTCGACTCGCAATCTGCGGGTCGCGGGTTCGAATCCCCGTCCCACCAAACATGTTCGCCCTTTCAGCTGTGGGGGCGTTATAATGTGACGGTCAATCCCACTATTCGTTGGAAAAAGAGTCGTCCAAGAGTTGGCGTTTGGTGGTGATGACTAGCTGCCTTTCCTCTAGTCTTATACTGCTTGTTTATATGTGTATATATGTGTACTAATGTGTTTATATGTGTATATATGTGTACTAATGTGTACTAATGTGTTTATATGTGTATATATGTGTACTAATGTGTTTATATGTGTATATATGTGTACTAATGTGTTTATATGTGTATATATGTGTACTAATGTGTTTATATATGTATATATGTGTACTAATGTGTATATATATGTATATATGTGTACTAATGTGTTTATATATGTATATATGAGTGTATGTGTGTGTGTGTGCATACGTATGTGTGCATTAAAAGGAACGGCACAGAGATGTACTTTAAATTATTAGAGTATGTTTAAGTCGAAAACATGGAATTTTCGCCTTTTCATGGAGTCACTAGTATATCTTTCTTCTCGTTACTGATTATAAACCATTAAATTTCGTTTTATTTCATAAGCTTTAAGTTGTTTGTAATCTACTTAAAATATTGTTTATTGAAATGATTTTATCTCTTCTATAATATTTCATTTAATTTGATATATAACCCACCTAACAACAATTAGACATGACCCAAAGATCTATAAAAGGGTAAATCAAAAACTTTTCTCTTTCATTCTCTTCTTCATATCCGTCCGTGGAATGATCGCAGCAAACAAACTGGAGTGGCATTTCTTATATTTTCCATAAGGAATTATTTTTTAATTCTAAGTCCTCTCAGAATGATTCTGAAGAACTGAAAACTGTCCTCACACTTTATTGTGAAAGGATACCTTGCTTTTCCAAAACCCTTTGAGTATTTTCCTTTAAAAAATACTTAAGGTTGACTTCACAAACAGAATAAAGACGTTTATCTAATATTTTGCATAACAACACCATATTTTTCTTCTCGTATGACATAGATGGGGTCCACGTTTTTCACCCATGAGTGATGCCTACGACTTAAGGCTTCGACAACTTGTACGTACAATAGCTAAAAAGTTAGACCTGGACAAGTACCTAAAAGAGGGTGTTTACTGCATGATTGGAGGCCCGTCCTATGAAACTGTTTCTGAAATTCAACTACTGAAACTACTGGGGGCAGATGCAGTCGGTAAGGTGATAGATAAACATTAAAGTTAGTATCTATTCTTAATTTAATTTTCTGGTAGCACTTTTGTATGTGCAAACTAACCAATATAGTACGGTATGGAGCCAAGAAAAATAATTTGTCAGAATAATTTAAAACCTGTTTATGATTTTAGGCATTTATTTTCATTGTTGACAATAATTTCCAATGCATTACATGTAATTTTTGTTATAATATGACACACATCTAGTAGTTTTTTGTTTGTTTATGAATTTCGCGCAAAGCTACACCAGGGCTATCTGCGCTAGCCGTCCCTAATTTCCATTAGTACACATATATACATATATAAACACATTAGTACACATAT